AGAAGCTGGAATTGCTGACATGCGTTTTTGAATACTTTTATTTTTCCTTTAGGTTCTAAAGTGGTTATTAATTTGATATTTCTTAATTCGAAATATATTCTATATATTCTTCCTAATTTATTTTTTAAAAAAAATATGGTATTTTAATTCATAAAGAACAGTTATTTTTTATATAAGTAATTTTCACAAGATTCTTAAAATAAGAACATTACAGAATCGAACTCAGAATTACAGAATGTTTTTAGATTCGATATTCTTTTTTTCTCTTCACTAAGAATGTTCTTTTTATATTGACAACACTTCAATATTTGAAGAAGAAAAAAATTTCTCCTATACAGCTGTAAAGTTTTACATTTATCTAAAGTTTCTTATTCTCCAGGTTTACGGTAAATTTTAGTTAAATTTTAAATAACTGGTAGGTTTTTAGACTCTTATTAAAAAAAAGAAAAAACATTTGAAAAGGTTTTTTTTAATTTTTTTTATATGTCTTAAATACATTTTAGAGAGGGATGTGAACGCTGCAAATAATGACATTTTTTAATTGTGTTATATTTGTGTTACTTATTATAATATTAATTACTTGTAGGTTTCATCTTCACTGTGTTTCTTCTTGCAATAATTCAACTGCTGGAAAACCTTGATCAACTTGAGTAATCATGAAACAACCTGGGAGAGAATGAAAAATGCTTTGAATACCTCTGCAGTAAGTTCTAAATAATATGAAATTTGTNACTTTAGAAATCAATTGTTCCACAGATAACCTAGGTGATGTACAGATTAACTTGAGTAACCTCCTTTTTAAGTACACTTCAATAATTTTCTTTTCAAAATCCATTCAATTACTTTTGTAAAATTGTACTACTGTATTATTACATACAAAAGCTTCATATACCATTTACTTGTTGCTGAACTTTATTCAGTTCCCCTTAATAACATGCTCAATATTCACTATAATCTGGTACAAAACAATTTTTCAATTGATTATATAGAATCAATTAATCATTAAAGCACACAATTTTGTGCTAGTTTACTTCTGCAAATGTTTTAATATTTTACAAATTATTTTGGGTTCTTCCTTAACATTTTAATGAACATTATCTGAATCTAAAAGTCATTCTCAGTCAATTAGGAATTCAGCTCATAATTAACTTAATGTTCATATTTTTTATATTAAAATTATAGATTAAATTATACAAATCAATGTCTAGCAATGTAGAAACTTTTAAAACAAGAATTTAGTTACAGTTTTAAATTGCCATTTCTTTGGAAAATGTAATTACTGTTTCCTCACATAAATACTTTGAAAACACATTAAGATAGTAATTACCTTTTTTCTTATAAATAAATAATATTTTAAAATAACATAGAAAATATTTTAATTGATATTTCATTGAAAAGTAGTTTTTTAATTTTAGTATATTTTATGCCTATGCAACCAGTAAACCTTTAATGACTTATTTTTTATGTTAAAAAGAAATTGATGATGTGTGTCATTTTTAAGTGTTTTGTGTATTATGCACGAGTTTGCTGATCCGCACTTTGTGGGCCACTCAATTCTGTGGTTAATCGACAGTTTACTCTACAGTTAACAAGCATCAACAAGTAACTAAAATTGAAATTGCTAACTTTAGCTTTGTGTATAAAGTTTTTTTCCTTTTTTTAAAGGAACCAAATATTTTTTTATTATGTATATAATAATAAAATATTAATAATTAAAATATTCTAAATTCTTTTGGTGCAAAAAGAAAGAAAAAGAATATGTTAAGCAAACTTCAGATTAAAATTATGAAAACAAAAATACATTAAGTTTTTCAGCTCATCATTTTTTTTTAACAAATTTTGTTTTAAATCATTAAGTATATTTTAGGTTGACACAGTAATTGAAAAACAATAGTTTTTCCTATTAGTTGTAAAGCAATTTTTTTTTAAGATTGATATAGTGTATAAAAATAAGTCATTATAGTTTGTACAAATTAATTTTTTTTTACTCACTTGCAAATTACTGAAAGAAAGCTGGAGGGACAGGAATTACCCTTAATAAAGTAACACATAGAGTTTTTAAGATCAAGTGAAACTTATATACCATAAAAGAAATGATACTGCAATTAAACTTTAATATTCTTTATTGAGAAATGTTATTTGTAACCTAAGACAGGGTACATAGCATTTTTAAAAAGTGCTTAAAGGTGCTTATTTTTAATTTACAGTTTTTAAATGCCTTTAAAAGTGCTTTTTTTATTCAGGGTTTGTAAAAGGTGCTTAATGTTCTTTCTTTTAAAGAAAGATTTTTTCTTTGCCCTATCGATTGTTGTGATAAATTACAAAAATGCATGATTTTCACAATTTTCTCTGCAATATTTATCAGATACTAATTATTTTATCATGATTATATAAAGTTTTTAATTTTTTTATTAATTGTATTGATTTTTTGTTTATATATTAAGAGCTTTAAAAATAGAAAAAAATAATTTTTATTACTGCACAAATCATAATTGTGATCTTTTTATAGAAAGTGATTAAAGATATTTTTTGAGCGCTTGAAAAGTACTTAAAAGGTGCTTGTTTTTTGTTGAAAAATCTGGCTACGCACGTTTTATCTACTACGTTTAAATAAATGTGTTTGTAAAAGCCAAATTACGGGGAAACTTCAAATCTTAGTTTAGTATAAATATTGAATTATTTTTTATTCTATTGCCTTGAAATCATTTTGACTATTTATTTATTTACTGTGATTGTAATTATTGATAAGCTTGCTAGTGCTTAAATCTTTATTTGAAAAATTTTAATTAAAGCTAAGGAATTAAAATATTATTTGTCTCCTAAAATCTTAAGTAATATTCTCTCGGTACTTGAAAAATGGACTAATTAGAATCTTAATTTCAAATTCTGCTTAATTTCTTTCAACATAGTACAATTTTGATATCCTAAATTTCTTGGTACAAAAAAAAGAATTAAAATGCTTTAATTGCAAATAAAATTAGTTAAATTTAATATAGTAACTAAGTAATGCGTCAAATATCAAAATAACTTTCTTTTCTTATTATCCATCCTACAAAATGTATGTCATACGTATATAAAAAAAGATTTTATTCATGAAAACCATTTATTCAATTTTAGGTTGGCACAATTATTAAAAAACAATTAGTTGTAAAACAATTTTTTTTTCCTATTTGTTGTAAAACATTTTTTTTTTAAAATTAAACTCTTGATATAGTGTATAAAAATAAGTTATTATAGTTTGTACAAAAAAAATTTTTTTTACTCACTTGCAATTTACTGAAAGGAAGCTAAGGGGACAGGAATTACCCTCAATCTCAATAAAGTAACACATAGAGTTTTTAAGATTAAGTAAAACTTATATACAATTAAAGCTCATATACCACTGCAATTAAGCTTTAATATTCTTTAGTGAGAAATGTTATTTGTAACCTAAGACATGGTACGTAGCTTTTTTAAAAAGTGCTTAAAGGTGTTCATTTTTGATTTACAGGTTTTAAATGGCCTTAAAAGTGCTTTTTTTTATTCGGGGGTTTGTAAAAGGTGCTTAGCGTTCTTTCTTTTAAAAAGAGATTTTTTTTTTCTTTGCCGTATCGATTGTTGTTATAAATTACAAAAAATACATGACATTCACAATTTTCTCTGCAATATTTATCAGAAACTAGTTATTTTATCATGATTATATAAAGTTTTTAATTTTTTTATTACTTATATTGATTTTTTGTTTATAAATTAAGAACTTAAAAAAAAATTTTAAGTGCTTGAAAAGTACTTAAAAGGTGCTTATTTTTTGTTGACAAATCTGGCTACGCACGTTTTATCTACGACGTTTAAATAAATGTGTTTATAAAGGCCAAATTACAGGGAAACTTTAAATCTTAGTTTAAGTAGTATAAAAATTGAATTATTTTTTATTCTACAGCCTTGAAATCATTTTGAATATTAATTTATTCGCTGTGATTGTAATTATTGATATGCTTGCTATTGCTTAAATCTGTATTTAAGAAATTGTGATTAAAGCTAAGGAATTAAAATATTATTTGTCTTCTAAAATCTTAAGTAATATTCTCTCGGTACTTGAAAAATGGACTAAGTAGAATCTTAATTTCAAATTCTGCTTAATTTCTTTCAACATAGTACAATTTTGATATCCTAAATTTCTTGGTACAAGAAAAACATTTGAAATGCCTTAATTAGGAATAAAATTAGTTAAATTTAATATAGCAACTAAGTAATGCGTCAAATTTTTAAAATAACTTTCTTTCCTTATTATCCGTCCTACAAAATGTATATCATACATATAAAAAAAAATTTAATTCAAGAAAACCATTTATTCAATTAAAATTTGCATCATCACATTCTTGAAAGCTTTTGTTTAATAATTGTATATAATTTGCTTTGGAAAAACACGAGATTGAAACTTAATTTCATGAAAACGTTGAATCAATTTTTTTTAACTATATACCCTTTAGGTTGCCCCCTTCCCCCCAATATTCTGCTCAGGTTTCAGCCACTATTCAAATAATTACTTCTTTTTACTTTTGTATTAAAATAATTACTTCTATTAACTACCATTAAAATAATTACTTTTATACTATGTTTACTATAATTTTAACCATGAATAAATTTCATGAGAAATAGAATATTCTAATGTTTTGATATTTAACAATAAATCATTTTATTAAAAAATGAGCACATTTTAAGATAATGAATTTGCATGATTTAAAATAAGTTCCTCTCGAAAATATTGTTTGCATATATGCAACATATAATGCTTAAAAATTAAATGTTTTATTTTTATCTGATAATGACTTAGATTATTCTAATATTTTCATTATATAGTTGTTTATATTTGATCTCAAACGTTTAAAAATTGTCCTATGTTTCATTAATAAAGTGTAATGAAATATAAAAGCTACTGCTGTGTACTTTCTGTTCTTAAGTTAATTTGGAAAATAAAAATAGTATATTTTATTATTCTTTTTTGAAAACCTTTAATATATTTAAGTAGACAGGGTGGCCTCCCACCTGGAAAACCTGGAATTATGAAGAAATTTTTTTTATACTGGAAAAATCAGGGAATTTTAAAGAAAAGCTGGAAATTTTTTTAATTTCACTAATTTAAATTATTTACTAATTTTCTTAATTTAAATTATTTCATCCATTATACCCACTTTTTTTAGACGGAAATGTATCTCCAAGCAGTTGAAATATCATCAACTTAGCAATACTTTGCTTGCATCAAAATTTGCTCCATTACAGCTCTGTAACTAGAATGTCACACAAAATTCTCCCACTGTTGCTAAATGAATGTGGAAACCTTTGACCACTATGGACTGTGCAATTTAGGAAAGATTGTGTTGGAGGTGGAAGAAGGGATTAGGATATTAGCTTCTGTTTTTAAATTCTGTCCTTTGGCTGATTCCATTTATCGCTTAAGTTTGTTCCAATGATTTTGTGGTAATTTTTTTCCATTTTTACAAAATGTTTTTGTATTTTTAACTTTATGAAATTCTCCAAAAATTAGTTGGTTATAATTTAATAATAATAATAGATTTTATATTGCGCTATTTTTCTGAAAGCTTTTGTATTTCCATTAAAAGAAATCTGTGAATTATTCTTTCGTAGCAAACCAACCAATCACACATCTTTTTTTACAATCGTTGACAGCAATGTTTATCGACAAATTGTTACAATTCTTGCATTAATACTAATTTTTTCTATTTCATTTTAACCTTTTATAACATATTTTAATTTTAAAGAAAGGTTTTTTTAAGAACTAACTATATACTAATATTTAATTTTACTCTTTTGTTGGTCAATACATGATTTTTGATTCAAAATTTTGTACCAAAACATTAAAAAATAAATAAAAAATCTTGCCAAACTGTAAAAATAAATTATTTTTTTCAAGACATGTTAAAAAAAATAACATTTTGAATAAAATATTTTATAATATAGACACTTTTTTTGTCTACACTTTATTAGAATAAAGAAACTAAAACCTGGAAATTTTATGATTTTTATCTGGAAAACCTGGAAAAATCAGGGAAATTTGAAATCTGATTTGAGTGGTCACCCTGGTAGAGTAAATAATATGTTTTTTAATTTACTGTATGTCTCTTTTGAAATTAGTCTGGCATATGTCTGCTGTCCCAGAAAATCTCCTTATTTTTTCTTTAATTTGTCCTTGACCCACTACAAAGCCTCTATTGTATCAAATATTCTGTTTTCCTTTGTTTAAATTTATTTTTTCTCAAGTGTAGAGTATTATTTTCAAGTCAGGATAATCGTTCATATCATTATAAATAAAATATTAAGAAAATGTTCCAATATAAAATTATAATAACTGTGTATTTTACTCGTAAAATAAGCTTATTTTGTGACAAGATCAACCTTTAAAAGAAAAGAATGTGGTGCAATAATGGGAGTTTGTGAGCAGAGTTTTCTTCTTCTTTTTTTCTTTCTTACAGTTTTTTTGAACATTGACTAACCCTTCATTTTTATTAGAAAAACTTTTTGTTAGACTTCTAAACTTAATTATCCATATTCAAGCACTAACTTAAGTAGATGGTTTTTATTACATAATGATTTATGCCAGATATTATAAAACCATTTAAATGATAGGTTATTTTTATTTATTCATGTATCTTAAATATGTTTATTTTTTTATTGAAGTGTATCAAAATCAGGGGTGTTTCTGTATAAAGCAATGACTTAATACAGTATAAATACATGGTGCTCAGTAAAGTTCAAGTGCCTGTGCACTCTTTTAACTTTTGTTTTCAAACAGCTGCAGCCATTTAAAGGTGTCTGCAGCTGTTAGATTGTCTATGTATTGTAAAATAGCTATGTAGGGGAGAGTTGGATAAAACGGGATAGTTGGACAAAACGGGATACGTCGCCTAGGGACCAGACTATTGCAGCTATCTAGTGGACAACGACAGAAACGTGTTATTCGACCGTGATTATATCATTCTCGGTGCGTCCCGCCTCGAGATCACTATTTGATAGAAAGTTGTAGGTCTCAGAACTTTTTTACTCTATTTTTTTGCCATTTTCTACATTTACGTGCGTTGTTTTTTACATTGTACTGCCTACATATATGGGAATAAAATTCCGGTGAGTATTAAATTTAATTAACCATTTATTTACCAATATTTTTATGTGCAGTCTATCTAATTTTCTTTTCACATTTAGGCAGCAGCCATGTTTGTTTCAAAAAGTGTCGGAGTCGGACAAAACGGGACACTTATGAGTTGGATAAAACGGGATAGAGTTTTTTATGTCCCGTTTTATCCACCTATTTATTTGTTGGATTATTACATTTTAAAATAGCCATATATTAATGTAGGCCTAGGCTTTTTAAACAACTTATTTATATTAGCTATATATATTTTTGAAAAATTTAGTCTCCTTATATAGTAATGCAAAATTTGTTTATTAACGTTCATTATTAAGCATTTTATTTTCGACTCTAGGATTTCACATCTTTCTTTAGAACTAATTGTAATGTATTTCTCTGATGAAGACTTGAGCTTTTTTATATATAAACTTCTTGATTTTCTGGATTGCTCAATTCAATCTACATTCAATTCTAAAAAGAATTCTTCTCTTTGTTTACTGAAGAATTTAAATACTTGATTATTAAAGAGTCTTTCAGGGATCTTACGACATCAATTGAGTGAAATAGAAATAAAAGTGAATTAGAAATGGAAGAAAAGGAAAGGATTATTAAACTACAAAAAAAGAACCAAGAGAATTGAAGAAAAGGCTGCTAAGAAATCTCTATTAAAAGCACAAGGCACATCTCGACAACGAAAATTGCGGAAATAAGCCTTCATGTTTGAAAACTTATAGTCTTTAAAAACAAATGTAGCATCATATTTTTTGTGTACTTACTCATAAAACAACAATCTATATAAAAGTGTTAGAACAGTAAAATCCCATGAATATAATTTATAGAAATTTTGCTTTGCAGTTCTCTGCCAGTTAATTATGCTTTTCACTTGCAGTTTTATGCAAAAAATTAAACATTGTAAACCCTATCCCGTTTTATCCAACCCAGGTATGCTAAAACGGGATATGTAAGAGTTTGGAAATTAATTTTTTTTTCTATTTCACAGTCAGTAAAATTAGTTTCAAATATGTTTTTTGTGTGCTTCAATAAATGCTATAGCTACAAAAAAAGTAATGTATGGTTTGCCTTAACAGATATTCCATAGTAAATAAAAACAATAATGGTATCCCGTTTTGTCCAACTCTCCCCTACTACATGATTATATTACTTAAAATGCCAACTGGAGATTTGTGTTCCTATCTTGACAGTGGTACGAGATATGGGAAAAAGTAATGGTGATGATAATAATAATTTTGAAAAATTTGTGCATTTGAAGGAACACAAAAGAAAAGCTCCTTGAGTACTTAAAATGACCATAGTACTGTAAAGATTGCTGAAAAAAATTTAGTAAAAGACAAACATCAAAAAAAAATTGTATTATAAAGAAATATTATCTTAAAAAGTCATAAAAAGTTGCGTAATATGTAAACTGGAAGGTGTGGAGGGAACTTAAACATTATCTAGCAAATTAAGTATGACTTTTTTTTTAATGCCAAATCAAATTAAATCAAAACCTTAATGAATAGGATAAACAATTTAGTATTTATAAGGGTTATCATGCATAAAAGGTTTAAATAATGATTTAAACTTATTTGCACATAAAGACCCTTTTAACTTCCAAACTTTAACTATGAAGCATTCAGAATTCAACAGCATATTTGATAGCAATGTGTGATATATATTAATTAGTTTTTTTATTTAAATAGTAATTTAAGAGTTTTTACAGGTAAAGCTTCTAGTTTTGTATTCTTGGCTCTTTTTTTTAAAAAATCACATTCAGAATAAAACAATATGCAGAATATAATATCTCATGTGTTTAAATTGCAATTTTGAACTCATAAATTGGTAAAATTATGTTTTTCATTCTAAATTATAAAATCTATATTTTGCTTTTCAAAACCACTTCCCTAGACCGCTATGCATTAAAAAGTGTAAATCGAAACATAAAGCCGTTAAAACTCTTGTCTTCTGCTGAACGCATTTTGGACTGTTTGGATTTCTTTTGAGAATTTTTTTATTTCATCATTGACTTTTTGAATATCTTCAAATTTTGATCTAACTCTAGCAACTTGGTTTGGATTTAGAACAACTTTTTTAATTATTTATTTTGTTTTGATCATGTTCTATTTAGAATAAATGTAGCATACCAGATAATACCTCACTTGCTCAGGCAGCAATGTCAGATGCTTAAATATTTAAAAGTCTAAATTTGAATTGTTTTTTTCGATAAACCACATTAACTTCTAAACTTTTAGTTCTATCAATTGGGATTTGATTTCTTTTTTTTTTCGATTTAACATGAACGAATTCATCAGAAACAATAACTACTTTGTCTAGATTTAAGTTTTGCACTACTCTGAGCCGTTAAGCATTACCCATTGTTTTAAATTTAATAAAAAAATTTCTAATATTTTAAATATGACATCAGTAGTGATATTTTTTAACTTATAGGTCTAATTGTTTAAAAAAAAAAAGAAAAGGAAAGTTTATTGCTAGTACATTAATATTTAAGGATTGTTTTAATTGCTATATCAGATAAATTCAATGAACATTATTGGTAGCATTTTATTTATTTTTTATTTTACAACTTGATAACTACTCCAATTTTATTCTTGTTTCTTGATTTTAGTTAAGTCTTAAGAATTGCTGTTATATATGTTTGACTAGCTGGTAATAAAACTAAAAAAACATAAGGTAGTGGGATTCTCGAGAAATATATTTTATTAAAAAGTTTTGTAACTTCTGAAGGTTATATTTTTGATTAAATTTGTATTTTTATGTATTTGTCATTCATTATCTTAATGTTTCTCGGCAGGATAGCAGCACTGATTCGCTTCCAGGATTTGAATACCAACCCTTCACCTTCTCTTCTGTCTTCTACCAGTTCATCCTGTAAGTCAACTTCTTCCTCTGTATCCACACCTTCAGCCAGAGTCAGAAGTAAGTTATTTATTTGTCTGTTTTATTTTATTCTAAAGGCCTTTTCGCATCCTAATTTTTAAAAAAATTGTTTGTACTTGATTAATTCATGCATTCTATAAGATATTAATCATTAATTTTAATAGCGAAGAAAAGCAAACACTTTCTTTTTGAAGTAACAAACTTTTTGCATTCTTTATTGTTTTATGACACATTTTAAGTTAATTTTTACATTAAAGATTTTAACAAAGTTGCCTTATGTATAGTGGACAAAATAAAAAAGAACCACCCTGAATAGCTTTTGATTTAATGTGATCAGATCTTCACATTCTAGGACTTGATGGTTAACCTCAAATATGTTGATTAATTAATGTAAACGATATTTTAAGTCACATACATAAACATACTTTCTCTTAATAAACATACGTTTATTTCGATGTACTCGAATTTCTTAACCCCAGAATATAGGGTATAGCTGTATTCTGGAAAATATGGTCCCAGTAGTCTAACTACCCTCTAGTCAAATAAATACAAAAAAAAAAGAGTTACTCCCCTCGATGAACAAACATGAAGACGTCTTTGAGTTGTCTTCGAGGAAAGACAATAACGTCGAGAAAAAAAAAGAACAAGATTTTCACATTCACATTGCTTTATTTACATTCATCATCTTTACAGGGGTTGGAGTGAACTGGGCGGTCCCTCAGGTGGGTTAGAAAGAGATTGCCGGGGAGTAAGACCAAATTAACCACCAGCATTTGCAGCAGATTAAAATAACAAGGGGCAAAACATAAAATTGATTTATTTAGTAAAATTGTCCATTTCGTATAAAATCAAGTCAGGGATGTAACCGTAACTCTCAGTCATAAATACTGAAAAGTAAAGTGCCAAAGAAAATGGCTACGTTTGCAAAAAAAAAACTATTACTTGGGGCGGTTTGGCATGGCTAGCTGACCACGGAGGTCAGTTCACTAGCCGCGCCGCAATCCCAGAGAGAAGTGTGCAACACGTCCCTTCAGCGCGGGAAAGTACGAGTTGTAAAGCAGGAGAGAGAACGACTCATTGGATGGGGGAATTACCACACGGTTACGTTAACACCAATCAGTGTAAATTAGTACTCCCACATCATACCAAATAGGGTACCAAAGGGAAGAAGTCCCCAAAGAAGGCGTGAACACCCCAATTTCTAGGAAATTCGAAAA